GTGAAAGTCCTATACAAAGTGTGTGTACACGTGAGAAGTGGAACGAAAATCATACAAAAAGCTAAAAACAGTTCTGTAACATTAAACAGCATCTGTATGATACAGATGCAACCTTATCTGTGTATCTGTGTCAGGTACTTTCACCCTAAATACTTTAATAGGATGTACCATCATAACTATCAATTTTTACAAATTCTGAAAGTCAAAGATCTGAGAACTGTTAGAGGGTCGCCAGTAGCTCCAGCTTTAAGATGATTAAACACACAATAATATTCCTGATCGGAAAATCTTCAGGTGTGTGAGGAAGAGGAGCAGTGAAGTTACCTTTCCGTCCTCTACGAGCAGGGCGATGGTGATGTGGTCCCAAACATACCACTGATGTGGCTCAGTCGCCTTCTCAGCTTTCACCCCATTGCCATTTACAGTCAGCTCGTACCTGAGGAGAAGCAACGTTTGAAACACCTCACAAAAGAACTGTAAACTCATGCAGCAAACTGACACCTGTGGACTTGATTTTTGGTAATTCACTGGAGAAAACTTCAAAAAGTGCAGTTTTCCATGCTCATATCACTGTTTAGGACCAGCTGGCACAGGATGATATGTCCCTTTTAGCCACTTCACTACAGACAAACATCCTGCTGCTGATCAGGTCAAATGTGTTTCTAAGTTCTGGATATTCCATGTGGGTATCTGGGTTACCTGTGGAGTTATTGAGGATCAGACATTTTAGACTCACCTGCATCTTCTTCAAGCCCCTGTAGCTCAGATAATATTGATAAAAACATGCATGGCTTCATTAAATACACTAAAGTTACTGTAATAAAACAGCTCAGAGTGAGGGTGTCAGGTGGGAAACTGTTTTCCACATGTGATTGTTTCTCGTATGGCCATGATGACCTGTATAGTGCATATACATCCATGGATGTTGTTATCTGTTTCTTACCTGTGTGTCTCACACATGGCCTGTGGCCTCCAGATGAAGTGTCCATCTCTGTAAGCACAGACGGCATCTGGGTGATCAGACACCTCAGGATACGAGTCTTTGAAG